GCTACCTTCTCCCGCGTATCCATGCGACCGCATATTTTTATTAAAACATAAATGCAGACGTGGATGCAACAACCGAATATTAGACAGACACGCCGCCAAAGTAACTCGAAAAAGGACTATAGTACAGCCGATGTGCCAAAAATTTTCTTTCACACTCTGGTGCTTGATCGCTCGAATAATTCGATTCGTTACGCGTGTCTACTTTTGCCGAGTACTCGGCAAACGGCAGCGATTAGCTCTATACGCGTATGTATATCTGCATGCGTGCAGGTAAGCGAAGTAGAATCGCCAGACTATGTGCGGTTGGATCGATGAGCAAACGTCTCGAAGGTGCGCCTCCGCATAATAACTAGTCAGAGGTGCCTGTGTGAAACTCAGTCAGCGAGCAGTCGAGCGTTTACGCGTCCTCGAATTACTTTGATCATCTTTCTTTTCCCCTCTTTTCTCGCTCCATTCACGGATTTGGCGTTGCTTTTTCTTTTTTCACAAGTATCCCCGAGCAAATCGTTCCTTTACCCCTTGTGGAATTCATCTCCCAAAATTGCAGTTTGAATTTCGATTAGCTCATCGGATATGCGGTTCGTTCTCGTCTTTCTTCTTCTTTTCTCACGCAGCGACCTCGATTCGACTTTCACTTCGGTCTTCAAATTTACATCTCGTTGCCTTCAAATCCTTGCATCACATTGTTGTCAGTAAAGTTGATAACGAGATTAATTACATTCTTCGATAGAATTCAATAATCCATGCCGTTTATAGAGTACCGTTTCGAAGCGATTCGCTCAGTTAGCCTTTTGTTGTTCGTATACCTGCTACGACTATTGCAGTACGAAAAGTAGAATAATCTTCTAACATGTTTTACGTGAATGGCAACGAAAATAATCAAATAACTTTACACTGTATGGTTACTGAAACATCTGTAATTTTTATCAGCAGTCTGTCATAATATGTAATTTTACCCACACTCGTACGTAAAAAGAGTTTCCGTACGTTGGTCACTTTTTTCGTAGGAAACCTTTTTAGTAGGAAACACAGGGTTCGCACTTGGTGTGCATGATTGGTCTCCCCTACTGTTTTCTTGTTTTAGTATGAAAGTATATCCATGCACAAAGTAATTGCTTTACTGTTAGTGCAAAAACACTACTTAACACACGATTGGAAGAAAACATTGTTCACAGGCTTCGTCCGTCGCTCGTGCGTTTCCCGCACTTTTTGAAACGCGCAGCGCTGATCCTCACTTTTGCAAACAACTCACGCCCAGCGTTTTACAACCCAGTCGTGCATATAAAAGCACGTTTTACGTTGCACACGTCGCACGAGCTAAAATTTGAAGTAGAAAATTTCCAAGTGTACACCCACGCGGGATACTTTAATCCTTCGAATGATGCCCGACTATACGTGTACCGAGGATTACGCGCACATCAAAGGCATCGAAATAACAAGCCAAGCATAGAGCTTCACTCAACTCGCCCTCCACTACCCTTATGGGATTCAAAACACGTAGGTACACACATCCACGTGTATATACGTGGGCTCTTGTGACACACAGTAAATACTGCGAGGGGAGGCTCGTTCCGCCGTTGATCAGAATAGGTGTATATATACGTGTGTAGGCTGTTTATCTGGAGCGCGCGCCCGTCGAATCATAAGCTCGCGCTCTGCAGCTGAAACCACGTGCTCGCGTGTGTGTATGCTTTGCCGAGAAATCAATCATCAGCCCTAAAACGTCGCGATCCCCCGCACGCACTAGATCATCGCGTGGCAGATGTTTGGAGCGTAAATGTCTGCATGTAATTTCTATATATACGTGCATACAAACGATGCGGAAAGAGGGAGAGAGAGAGAGATGGTAGTGAGGTGGCGGTGGCCCTTATTTATCGGGCGTGCCAGCCAATTTCCTGTTCGCATCCGCTGTCGTTCGTCTCTCCGTATTACATGACTATCGAAACGGGGAGTCAGGTATGTATGGACGTGTGCGGAACTGGCGCTTGATAATTGGCCGCGGACCAAATTTACCTTTGGTCAGATTATTTGGTTGCTAGGACCTTTTTTTCTCGTTCAGAAATCGTTAATTTCGCCGCTACGATTCTAGTCTGGCGGAACGTAAATAGTTTTTTGTACGACGTTGACAGTATAGATAGAGAAAAATATCTTTCATCCTCTAATTTTCTTCAATAATTATTCTGAAAATAAGTAGAAAATGTCCTTACTGTCCATCGTAAAACTAGTTTTATAGCATAGAAATATGTTTTTTAAGTAACGACGATGGTATCTCTATTTATCCGACGATTTCCTTCATTAGTTTTGTGAAAATTGGAAATAATAGCGTTGCAAACTTCATGTGTTGGTTGATTAATTGAAAAAATAATATAAAATGTTTTCACCCACGCCATAGTTCTTGTCTGACAGTAGAAAAATGAGTGTTTAACGCAACATCGATCGCACCTCTATTTATCGAACGATTTTTTTGAAGAGATTCGTAAAAATATGAAAATTAACAATTCAAACATAATTTTTTTATCAATTGATTAAAAAAATAGTACATAACACGTCTACTCTACTACTAGAGTTCTGGTCTGATAGCATAAAAAGTTTTTCACTTGAGAGTGACAGTAACTTTACTTATCAGACTAGTTTTTGTGATCGGTATCTGAAAAACGTGGATAGGAACCCTACTAAATATTATATGTTTATGCTTTTTTAACATACGTTATTTTTGTAAAGCAATTATGATAAATTTATCTGCTATGTGCACTAGCGATTTTAGTAATGTCAAAGTTTTATTTACAAAAAAATCTTTAAAAAATCCAAAAAAAAAAAAAAAAAAAAAACCCTACGTTTAGTTGCGTAAATCGAATCTTTTTATTATAAAATTTTTACTGCGACAATCATTGCTGATTTTTCATTATACATGTGCATCTTCTATACATTCAATAAAAATAATCAACGCGTTGTACTGAAAGTGAATGACTTCTCGCTGTCTCATTGTACCCAAGAATTCTTTCACACTCGGCCTCTAACTTACGTTGGCACGTCCTTATTGTTTGCTGCATTGCTCCCTACATTTTTTTTTTCTTTTTTTTTTTATCATTATTTTTTTCATTTCGAAGCGTCTGCTTTTTTTACTTCTCGTTATCCTACGGCATTACCTCTGGGCGTTCAGGCATTTAATTATTCGCTTGCACGCCCTCCAAAGTCACGGAGAAATTTTCTCGTAATTAAAATCCACGCGTCTTCTGCATGAAAATCCTCGAGCGTCAAGTTTATGAATTCGTCCTCCTAGTTACTGCAGTAATACTTTTTAGCCAACATACTTGAAACTGAAAAAGTATGATGAAATGAATCCTTTTTCAACAGGAGTGACGCATAAAGTGGATAAAAAAAATATGGAAAATTCCAAAAAAAGATCACCTATAGTGTTTTCAAAAAGTCCATGCTAACTGCTGTAAAGATATAAGCGTGCGTCAATTGCTTCGCTAAGATTTTTTTATCAAATAAAATTCTTACGTAAAAAAAAATAACAATAATGGTCATATGAACTTGTCATGTATGTCTTTAGACTTATTTTGCAATATTATGATACTTGTAAAAACTTAAGGAGAAATAAATAATTGAAACCAAAGTAAAATAATACTTCTATAATTAGGACCGACAGCTATTATTAGTCAAAAAATACAAGAAAAAGAGTATCATGAAATACTTTTTTTAAAAGTGTTTTCCACTACAGAAAATTTTTCAAGGTTGATAGAAAACCCTATTATTAAAAATTCGTATGGCTTTTCGCACAAATGATATTTAAACTTTTCTCAAAAAAAGATGCCAAGTCTAATCGAGTAGTTGAGATTGTTATTTTACTTTGACAAGGTACTTAAAAAATTATTGTTCCAACAAATTGATGCAGGAAAGCTACATACACAAACCTACAGGACGTAAAAATGCATTTATTTCAACCTCGTTGAATCCGTAATAAAGTTGTTTGTACTTTTAACTAGAAAAACTTATTTATTACTGAAACATATAAACTACAAACTTTATTTTCTATAAAACCTCATAAGCACTGTCTGCTGTCAAAAAAAATAAAATGTACAGACTATAAGCCTTTAAATGAAACGCTCTCGAGTTTATCAAATTTACAGTAGTGGCAAGTATTATTTTATTAAAAAATATTAATAAATAATCGTGCTTTTAAATAAAAAAAGTGCTAGTGGTTGAAAGGAAAAAAAACTTTAAACGTACTTTGTTAATATTTTCGATGTGGGCGAGTATATGATGGAAATCATGAAAAGTACCAAGACTAATTCTGTAACCTTTTTGAGAAATTGGTAAATAATTTTCATTCAACGCGCAGCTGATTTTAGCAAGGAAGGGAGAAGAATTTATAGGAAAAGTAGTCGAGGAAGTCAACGGAAAGGGAAACAAAAAATGTCCGAAAGATTGAACACGATTTTACGAGATCGTACGTTTCGTCGAACTCAGTAACTCGTAATTTCCAATGTGTGGCAAACGAACTGCGAATAATTCGAGGAGTGAAATCATCAGTGCAGCAATAAGCTGTAAAAGATTGAGAGCAAAAAAATAAAAAGTAAAATAAAAACATATGGAAAGGAACAGTACAAAAAAAAAAAAAAACATAACATAGACACTTTTCAACATAGACACCCTCAAAGTTACCAATATAGTTACACAGTATTAATTCAGGAACCAATTTCCAACTTTACTCGATTTCAACATAAAAAATACATAGTTAGATGACATGGCACTCAATACCTCGAGTATCGCTCTAATCCGATAACCCATTCCACTTTTACCAACTCAATCGAGCCAATCAAAATTGTTATCCGCAAAAATTGCTTCAGATACTACAGTCAAACCTTCAACAACCCCATTTCCTTTTCACCCAATCTTGCTTGCAATCGGTCATCTCGCGCATACCCACACACGAAAAATATATCCAGCAAAGTCTAGAAAAAAATAATCCAAAATGATTTTAAAATCCGTTTCAGGAGCTCGAGCGAAGCTACACCTTGTCGACACCCGGCACCGAGAGTCCAGTCTTCTGTCCACCACCTTGCTCGCCACCACCGGCGCCTGCCGCCTACATATCCAGCGCCCGCGCCTCGTCGCGCAGACTAGCCTCGGGCACCAGTCTTGGCCCGGCTGGTGCAGCCACCTCCCCCGAACGGGATCCCCTCGGCCGGCTGATCAGGTCGGTACATATGCTTTACAATCCATGCTTTTGGTACATTGCAGTCTTTAGAAATGAACTGGTGAGGCTTCGACTTTTGAAGCTGCGAGAATACAGTGGTGGAGCATTCGTTGGGCGCGGAGGATAGCTGGTAGTTGGGTGGTTTTGGTTTTCGCTGAGTAAAAGTGCCGACCGCGAAATCGACCGCAGTTCTGTGGTGTTTGGCTTTACATTGAGATTTGTACTCTACTAGGAGAACATTATAAAATCCTACTTTGAATGTAAATTGAAAAACACGATTCTCTAAGAGAATAATTTGGTATTTATTGCCTTCGTAGGAATAGGAAAATATACTTTTATGTAGATAACGTTGTACTGATTTTATAAATATTATAACTTTGTGAAACAAATTTTCAATTTAATATTTTTTTTTGTCAATTTGCAAATGTCATTTTTAGTATTTTACATAAAACTTTACACGAGTATTAAAAATGTTTGTATTAAAAGCTAAATTAATTTTAAAGCCATAAGTATATGATCACATTTTGTAACCTGTAATGAGCGCAGTATGTTTTAATAAAATTTACTCTACAAAAAATTTTAATTCGCGACTTTCAGTAGAAAATATATTCAACTAGACAAATAATCGTAACTATAGTGATACAGAAAAAGTGTGCTTTTTTCTGGAACAGAGATTTTTTTTTTTTTTTTATCATATTCTTGTAAATTTTTTAATGCAATTAACGTATTTTTGTTTTAATAAAGAATAATTTTGTATGAAATCAAAGTCGATGCACCTTCGGAGTCAGTCACAAACACATTCCGTAATATATGCCACAGAACAAAGCAAAGCTTAATATGACAATTCTCGTGGATGTATGCGCAGATACCTAAAGACCTTCTACCGAGAAGTGGGTACGAGGGATCCGCCGCACTTGCCACAATGGGCCTCGCCACTGCCACCAGGCACTTTGTGCCCGGCCCACTTTCAGCCGCACCTCCAAATCGTCCACAAGAGCGAGCAGGAGCATCGGCTGGAGAACATCAAGATGGATCAAATTTTTTCCCCGGTCAGGGTGAGATTTGTGTAGCGCTTTTTTTTTCTTTGTTTTTGTTTATTTATCTTATAATATTTTTTTTTTAATAATTTTGTTTTGCAGTTAGTTCTTTTTTTTATTTTATCGCTTATTAGTATATTCATTTTTAACAACATAATTAACATGATTACGTTTAATTAAAATATGATGTTTGCACAAGAATTTTTAATTCACCAACAGCACAAAATACAACAATTGATAAATAACGGTGACCTAAATGTTGTAATCCTCTCAATTGAATTTTTTTTTAACAACAAAAAGCTAGTTGCTAAAGTTTTATTAATCATGTTTGCTCGAGATGAAAAAAGTAAAAAAAAAAAAAAAAAGAAAAAACGAAAACAATGCAGCGCAGTTGAAATCTTTACGAATTAAAAAAAAATCTTTATTATTGAAACGCCACCGAAGCCAGTAATGAAATCAGGCCAGTTTCCAATATCGAAGATAAATAAATCTTTGGCAGATTGAAAATTGTTGAAAAATAATTTTAAAAAAATTTATAATTTCACGCGTCAAAGCACGCACGATCGATCTCGTGTGAAATTGAAATTTTAACGCTTTTACAGTCCAAATTATTTGAAGTAAAACAAATTGAAACACACGTGCATCGTTTAACCTTTTCGTCCAACACTCGCGTGCATAGTATCGCGGCCTGAAACTGTCAGCTCGCGTGAGTGGATAAATTTTACATGTACTTTCTACCCACAAGAGATGACAAGTCCGCGCGCGTGCGACGATGCAAGCGTAATGTTGATTTTTTCGAGTCGAGAGGGTACAAAGTGCCAGAAACACGCCGTCGAATGAATTAAATTGTGTTGGTTTAATGTATATCGTTACGGTTCACGAAACATATGGAAATAACCGGCACTAACGATTCGTACGGCACTTTACTTCGGCCAACGAAATTCGCTTTACGAAAAGGACATCAAAACGCGAGAAACGTTATTCGATATCATCCCAAAACTTGCATCGGGAAAGAAAATAGTTGACAAGTTAAAAAAAAATATAAATATTCCCACCCAAAGGCATCAGATCAGCAATGTCCTTGCGAGATAAACAACTACGTATTTCTTTCGTTCTTGCAGCTGGGCGACTGCTCGATCGCAGACGCGCCCCGTCGCGTGTCCGTCGAAGGCGGCCCAGGAAGCGGTCGCACGACCTTCTGCCTGCGGCTGTTGTACCAATGGGCGACCCAGAGCGAGGGTCCCACCCTGGCATTTGTGGTGCCGCTGCGGGAGTTGCGGGGCGGGCAGCTGTTGAGCTACCTGACGCGAGAGCTGTTTCCGCGCGGCGGGCCCCTGTCAGAGGCGATCCAGCAGGTGTGGCGGACGCTGCAGTTGCTGGAGGACCGGCTGCTGTTCGTCCTCGACGGGTACGACGAGTGCGCTCCAGGCAGGGCTGGGCTCGGGGACGCCCTGGACCTGCTCGAGGGGAGGCTCTTCCCGGAGGCGAGGCTGCTGCTCACGTGCTCGGCCAACGACGCCGCGGCTCTCGGGCCGTTCGTCCAGAGGAGGCTGCACCTCGCCGGGTTGGAGTGGGCCCACGTCGAGAGGCTCTGCGTCGCTTACTTCATTCACAACGACATGGCCGAGAGGGCCTGCGAGTTTCTCGAGGTACTCAACGTGCAGCCCTTGCACGTGAGGCAGTTGGCGCAGCATCCACTCGGCTGGACGATGCTCTGCGTGCTCTATCAGGTCAGGAGATTTCTCACTCGTGGGTCGATGGTGTGATGATTGAACGAAATTGCACGCATTTTTTTTTTCTCGCTAAAAATTTTTTATTCGGAAAAGTTGCGCAAAGCAGCTTACGCACGACTTACCGAGTATAATATAAATTACCAAAAAGTTATTAAAACTGCTTTTAATCAATAATAATGGGCTCCCAAGCTGGTAGTCTCGGCGAATTATTAATTTTTCTATTTGAGAATCTCAAATGAATGGAAAACTCATTAAAAAGACAGCTTACACGGTCTCTCTTTCGTTTCGTTAACTTTGAAATGCCGACTCAAAAATCAATACCCAAACATCTTGTTCATCGGCTGCAGTAGTATGAAAATCGATAAAAAAAATGTTTTGGCTCTTGTAAATCGTCACAGGACAGCGGTAGTCTGCCGCCGGAGATGAGTGCCTTGGTTCAGTCGGCGGTGAAGTGCGTGGTGAAGCGTAGCCTGGAGCCATCGGTGGCCCCCAACGAGGAGATACCCGGGCACTGTCGCAAACGCCTCGAGGACTTTGGGAAGCTCGCACTGGCGGCTCTGCGCGAAAACCGCTGCTACTACAGCGAAGCCGAGCTGAGGAGTCGGGGAGGTGGCCTCGAGATCACGAGACTCGGCTTCCTCAACAGAGGTAGGTGCAGCTGGGGGATATAACGCGTCAACCAGTAACTCGTCACCCAGTGACCCGTCCTCTGCTTCCAGGGCTCACGTTCGCCCAGAGGCGCAAGGCCGACTTGTACACGCCGATCCACCTGTCGGTCGCTGAGTTCCTTTCTGCCTACTATCTCTCGTCGATCGCGCAGTACGCCAACATCCTGCGCCGCGAGCTCGAGGGCCTGCCCCCGGGGATAATCGGCCACTTGGCCGGGCTCCTGGGCCCCAAGACCCACCTCGTGCTCAACCAGCTGTGTCCCCTGGAGGTGCCGGCTCGGGCGATGTTTGGCCTGCTGAGGGCAGCTGGGGCCTCGGACGGCAACGTCGGTGCCGTGTGCCGGCTGGTTGGGGCTGGCCCGGGCTTCGGACCGGCCCCGAGCGAGCGCTCGCCCGCCCCTTTGGTCCACACGTCGCCGCTGGAGCTCGAGGGCTGGGCCCGGGTGCTCGAGAGCTCGGCGTGCAGTCTCGAGGCGCTCGAGGTGGTGTTTCAGGTCGAGCGGGGCTCCGATCCGCGCCACTTGGCCGAGTTCTTCGAGGCCCTGGCGCGCAACGAGAGCGTCAAACTCGTGAGGATCACGTCCCTACTGGGCCAGGAGTTTCCCGCTGACGAGGTGCTCAGGCTCGCCGAGCACGTCAGGAACGTGCTTTGCAAGAAGAGGCTGCACGAGTTCGAGCTCGTCATCACCTGTCTCGAGGAGTCGGCCCATGACCGGTGAGTTCCTCACTTTTCTTTATTTCGTTGCTACACTGTTTCGGGTCATTCATCATAATAAATAAGTTTAACTACTTACAAAAGTAACCACTCACGCCCACGCACTTATTTTTTCGTTTTTTTTTTTCAATTTTGTCACACGATGTCTCCGAACAACCTCATATAGTATTTGAAAGGTCTACAATATTTATAGATGAATTTTTAAGTCTTTAAAAGTATTTTTTTACTAAATTTGAAAGTTTTCGGCCCTTTGATGCATCTGCAACTCATTTTTTAATCATAAGTATAACTCTCGTCGCCGGAGGTGTTGAAATTCCGCGAGCATTTAAGTGCGGTCCAGTTCCTCTTTTGCGTTTTCACGCCAGTATCATAAAAATTCACTGGCATCCAATACGCTCGTCAAAAGCAGCGTGACAACGTGCCAGTGGTAAAATGAAAGAAAGAAAGAAAGAAGAAAAAAAAAAGCGCCCGAAAACTCATAAAGCGTGTGGGTGAAAAGAAGTCTGCGAGACGATATTTATACGCGGCGCGCTGAATCGAGGAAAAAACAAGAGAATGCTATCGCGGGGTTTTTAAGCGTTCGGTGGTGCACGAAGCGGAAAAAAGAAAGGGGACGATACGTGTCCGAGCGGATGCTGTCCGTCGCAAGCGCGAATGAATTATCGCGAGAGCGTGAGAGGCTGATATTAGGCGAAGCGTAGAGAGTTCGAGGATTGGAGGTATTTTCTACCTTCCCATGGCACCCAGACTATCACGAGGGTATTATACATGTCGTCCGAGTCTTCCACAGGGACTCTCTCACTCTCTTGTGGTCACCCATTTCCATTGTCTCTCGCCCTGACTATTGAAAAGACGATTTTACATGTTAGGCTGAATGAAAAAGATAGGCGTGTGCACGTTGGCTGCAGATTTTCCAATGTGTGTGAAATGAAGTTTAAAAGGCTATTTTGCAATTATGTACTTACTTATTTTCAGCTTTAATAATTCAAAATACTCAGTAACTCTGATGATGTGTCCGCTTCGTCCATGGGAACATTGGCTGTCAATCTAGAGTTACCCCTTATCGTATTCAGTTAAACTGGCTTTCCGTTTCTCGCCACCGTGATTATTTTCTGGGCATCCAGTCATACTTGGTACTGGCTCATGGACGTCCACACTATATTTGGTCCCTATATCAGTTAACTTCTAATTATACAGATCTTAGAAGGTCCACTCGCTTTCCCACTGGTCATCTCATTATACCTTACTCTAAAACTGAATGCACGAGACGATCCTTCTCTGTTCAATCACCTATATTAATAAATAAACTGCAACAAAATGTATTTCAACCAATTAAAATCGACAACTTTAAAACTTTCCTATTTGCGTTTCTCTTAAACCAAGACAAGAGTGAGTGGAATACTGAATACTGGATTTCTGCCTAGATTATAAACTATTAATTCTTATCATTGAATGAAATTGTTTAATTAATTTTTCTCTTTTGTTCTTTAACCACTAATTATTAACTCAAACGTATTCACATTTTTGATTACTTACCTATTCAATTTCGTACTAACTTGTATTAACTAATTGTTTATATTTTATTTTAATACATACATTGTAATAATCCCTCGAAGCCATACGTGGTTGTACCCCCTGGCTGAAATAAAGACTTATACTACTACTACTCTCTCTCTCTCTCTCCTCCAAGAACTACGACCCTGCATGTCCTCTGTCACCCACCACCACCACCCACCAACGACACAACCAGCATCTCCTTTACGACTCTTGGATCCTTGTAAGAAAGAGTAATTGAAACTACTGCTNTTTTTAATATTGTGGTACACGAAAAAGTGAAATCTTCCTCATAAATGAAATAAAGACTTATACTACTACTACTCTCTCTCTCTCTTTTTTTTTTTTTTTTAATTAATAATTGCGTCAGATATATTTTTTCATAAATCGTTAAATGTAATGTTTTAAAAAACTCGCCATAAATACAATTAAAACACAGCAGTTTTCGTACCTGGTGACGCATGTCCAAGGAACTTCTTGTGCTTGTCCTATGGTTGGATGTGCACTAGGGGAAAACTCTGTACTCTGAGGACGCAGTAAACGTTGGAAGATAAAACAATGCTTAAAGTAGAAAAAATAATGAAACAAACATGAACGTGGTGACTCACGTCGAGCATTCATATTTTTCAAATACTTAACAGTTGCCTTGATTTTACGATAAACTCATGAGAAAAAATAAAAACGTGATTGTGATATATTACGCACTCTAATAAATCATAAATAACCTCTTTGGATCTACGAAAAATCGCAACAACAGAAATATATCGTTGTACGGTGTTCAAAAAATTTGAAGTAGTAAAACACGATTTTGGTCAGACGCCCGACCACTTCGTTTCAGCAGATTTAGTTTTTTTCTCCACTGATTTCAATCGCAAAGTGAAAAAAACTCACCACAGTACGCGCCCTCATTTGCCCCCACAGCTCACACCGAACCTAACTCCGACTCGCTTGCCTCTTTCAGTCCCCCTAACGAGTCCGAAAATCGCGTGGCCGCGCATCGGTAAGCACATCCCATTTAATTCCCCCTGCATTATTCATGTACCTGGAAATATAAATTTCAAGGGCCCGAGCGCTCCCACCGTCTGGTCCTTCCTTTCATCGCCTCCTCTCCCCCACTCGCACGGAGAAAGTTCGCCAACTCTCGAACAAACTTCAGTTCAGCCCCCGGGAAATACACCGCGAAATAAAGAAACGTCTCCGCCTCTCCTGAGCTCGGCATCCGGAAGATCGGCACTGCTTTTGGGAGGAACTTCGACTCGCGTTTATTTATTCGAGAGAGAGAGAGCGAGCGACGATTATCAGTTTCAAAGCAAAGCGCGGGCCAAGGTGGTAAAACGGGGCAGAGATAGACGCGTTTGCTGGATCCGCGAGAGAGCTGGGGTGCTTCGACGAGTCGCGAATTCATTAATTTCTAATTAGCTCGCTCGCGGAACAAGTACGAGTCGATTCTCGGGATCTCGGGCGCTTTGAGCTGCGAGCGCGTACATTCCCGCGAGTTGATTCGTTCGAAGGCACTTCGCAAGGGATTTCGGGACAAAGGGGTGGTGTTGTTTGAAATGCAATCCTTCGCTCGAGGGACCGGGACGATCTACGACACAAGTTCGTGCTCGACGGATGCGGGTGGTTGAGTGGAAAGGCGTGTTAAATTGTCAACTGAATGAATCTGAAATTTAATCCAAGAGTTGATCTGAGAGACCAAGAAATTTGCGCATCGGTGAATCAGTGTTCAAAAAGGTTTTACCAGCTCTACGATTTATGTTTCGTTAAAAATCAACAAAGGTGATAAAAATCCGTGACACGAGGTCTTTATATCTTACTGGCTTTCCGTAAAATTGGAATAACACGCTTGAATTTCCAGTGTATTTTTTGTTTTTATACAAACGAGTGTCTCCTGTTCATATTGCCCCGAGTTTCATTCAGGTTTTTGTGATTATTCCTCGAGCTGTGGATGCTTTTGAAAACATTTTGAACGAAAATTGAAGACACTGGTTCACCTATTTGATATCAGACTGTACAGTCAAATTACTTGAACTCTTTTAAAAATTTCAATTTCCAATCTGTGGTTGCAGGCTCGAGTGCGTGGTGAGCGCGCTGTGTCGGGGCATGAGCCAGGCCTCGAATCAACTGTCGCGGCTGGTCCTCGACATGAACTTGTCGGGCGAGCAGGTGTCGCGGGTGTGCGAGGCGTTGCGCCACTGCAGCCAAGTGCAGGCGCTGCATTTGCCGCATCTGGGCTGCGGCTGCGAGGGTCTAGCCTCCGTGGCCGATCTTCTGAAGGAGCGACCGCTGCTCGCGCTCAACCTTGCCGGCAGCTGGGGTGCGAAGAATGAGGATCCGTCCAGCTCTGGGATCAGCATGGGTGAGTGACGACTTTTATCATTTTCGGGATCATTGTATCATGTGATTGGTTATACTGTTGTTTGCACGTTTTCACACTTGGGCGTATACTCTCAAATGATCATCATTTTGCTGGTTTCTAAAAATATAGAACAACTTTATTTCTATCACTTTAATAATTCAAAATACTCAGTAACTCTGATGATGTGTCCGCTTCGTCCATGGGAACATTGGCTGTCAATCTAGAGTTACCCCTTATCGTATTNGATCAGCATGGGTGAGTGACGACTTTTATCATTTTCGGGATCATTGTATCATGTGATTGGTTATACTGTTGTTTGCACGTTTTCACACTTGGGCGTATACTCTCAAATGATCATCATTTTGCTGGTTTCTAAAAATATAGAACAACTTTATTTCTATCACCACTCATAACTGATATTTTTTTTTTTTTTTTTTTTTTTTTAAATTTTTACCAAATAAGGAATCCTTCGTTTTAATACAGTATTTTAAAAAAGCAATTAAATATTTTTCAATTCAATTTAATAAGAAGCTTTTGCATTTTTAGAAAAAGGTGTTGTGTCAAAGTTCTTACAAATGTATAAAAGTGTTGAAGAAAATGAGAGTACTTTTTACTTGTTTATACTTTTATAGTTCGCCCGCTAATGAACTAGTTTTCACGTTAAAATGAAGTATGAGGTTATTTTTAACGATCCATTCGTAAAAAACTGTTCTGGTTCTCCATGAAATTATATCCACAGCGAAAAAATTTCACTTTTTGATGATTAAATTTTTTTTTCCTGCAGTGGGCATGTAATAAGTCACTTCTATCAGGCATTCGTACTTGAAAACGAACAAAACGTGCAAAGAAATTTTTTTTCAATTTTACAAGATCGTACTCGCTGGAGGGCTTAAAGCTCCACTCGACACGAGCATATTATACGAAAAGGCACTTCGCATCGGTACGTGACACTGCTGGTTTTCAATTGCCATTTTCTTTCGTCGCCCTTCCATCCACGTACCTCATGCCATTTATACTTTTTCTCCTTTGCTTTTTTCCCCTCTGCTCTTATTTCAATATTTTCTACTTGCACGGCCGTGCTTGCCATACCATATTTCCTCTACTTCACTGTATTACTATCCCCGAAAATTTATAGAGGTCGTTCGTATAAAATAAAGTATTCTATCTTTTATCTTTAAAAGATAAATGATTGATATGTTATAATTCATTTTCAACTTGTTTCACCATCAAAACGAAATCACGAAACGTACCTAAAAAGTTTTTAATACTTTCTTTTCTTGGCATTTTTAATATTGTGGTACACGAAAAAGTGAAATCTTCCTCATAAAAGAATCTATTTTTAATTAATGGATGAAAAATCGATCATTAAATTTATTGATAAATGATAAATTATAACATTTTTTGTTAAATTTTTTCCGGGATCACATCAAATCTTAAACAAAAGATGCTTTCATTAATCGCAATATACCACTAGACAAATGTATCACTTGTTAGTCCTAATCATACCATTTCTTTCAATTATTTTTGATTGTATCATTGTATTGTTTTTTGATTTAACATTTTCAAACTATATAAACTAGAAGAAAAAATAAATAAAATCAGTCGCAACGGGCAGTCTAGTTTCAGTCAGTATGAAAAATTAGAACTTGGAATAATGCAAAGATATACATTTAAAAATTTGTACATAAGTTACGTACACATACGTATAATGTTACATGTTATTTATTATATGTTATTTGATACTTTCATGATTGTTCTTACGTTTTTAAATATATTTATTCTGATTAATTTAAAAAATATAGTACCGATTGACAGACATCAACATAAATTAGCGAATACTGCAACATTTCGTATGCAATGACATTAATTTATCCGTAAAAAGTGATAAATTTGTCTTGTCAAGTAGTACATCCAATAAATGAAAACACTCGCTCTTTTTTGCAAGAAATATAAATTCAATTTCAACCAAACAACGAGAAATAAAAAAAAAAAAAAAAAAAACGAATGCAACCAAGATTATTTGGCAACACTCTACTTCATAAGTCACCCAACTCTGAAACATCTTACATCATCCAACTGACCACCACAAGCATCTGTGTGTTTTCTAATTAAAATTTCTCACCCATGCTAGCCTCCTAATGACCAATTACCAAGCTAATTGTGTACGAGCGGGGAACTTTAGCAACTCGCAATCTTCTCTCTGGCACGACGTTAAATCTAAAGTTGAAAGAACCAAATAATAAGAGGGAGAGACGACGATGAAAGTAAGAAGATAGAAGGAAGGAGGCAATTTATCCGCGAAATAGCGCAATTAAGGTTAATACACTGGCAGCAAAGGGGGGGGGAAGAGAGAGAGAAAAGAATAAGCTGGAAAACGATTGTCCCCAGGAGGGAAAACAAAGCTACCCTGGAGAGTATGTGGCGGAGCGTTACGTAAGAGTGCACGGAGAGGAGCCGTTGTCCCAGAAAAGCTGCATGAGAAATATTGAATTTTTATTGACTTTTGAGTCGGAGGGGAGCGTTTGCTGCCGCGTAAAGATAAGAAAGGAAGGCCGCCGCATCGGTTTGGCTTGCCGGGGACTTATCTGATTTCGCTGGTTCTTATTTAAATCATGTCGAGTGCATTTTACTCTGCCAAGCTGAGCTCGGTTGTCGGTCCAACAGTTTGTGGTGTACCACTTACTGCAGGGTATATTTATACCTCGATATATTCCAATTATATCTCGCGAAACGCTATAATTGGAAAATGAAATTTCATTTTTATTTTCTGCATCTGATCGTTTCATTGATTTCAATCTTAAACTTTTCAAACATATTTATAGCGTAATAATAATGGACACGATGACGAATTGCACGTATCATCAAAAATTACAGAGTTAAAGAACAACTATTATTTCACCTAAATTAATGATTTGTAGAGCACACAATAATTAGTTTGTTGATTAATTTTCAATCAACACTTCTAATTGCAAGTACAATGTCCAAGCTGGAATTCGGAACAATTATACTGACAGTAAAATTTTGAATTCGCTTCGACAAATGGACGTGGTTTGCAAAGCAATGTGGCAACAATCTGAAAATTACCACAAACAATCTTAACACGCATAAAAATCATCATCTTTCGGGTACATGTTGTGGGATTGAAATTAAATTAAATTAAAAAAAAAAAAGAAAAGAAAAAAAAACACGCAACATCAAACAACACCGTTCCCGATGTTTGTCACGTCGAGTGGACTATATATACACCTAACTCTTGTGATATGCGTCGAGGCGTGCCACTGAATTACATTTACTTCAGCCAACGTCAAGTACTCGTATACGCGCCCGGGAAATGCAAGCCCTGCACGCTGGGCTCGGCTGGATTGCGCGTGCCTACATTTGTACGTATATGATATTATATACGCATACCCTCGAAGCCATGTTGAAACAAACGGGTTGAAAATGTACACGTGTATCACGTGCATATTATAATGTACACCAACGAGCTCGACTATGGGTTTCGCACGAACGACCCTGTACGCTCTCTTCCACCCTCTCCCTCTGCATGTGCGTTGTATAATTGCACTGGCACTTGCACATTTGTACGTTGTACATGTACCGCGTCACTGTAAATCCAATCGGTTCAAGTGGCAAGTGCTTCTCGTGCGAGCGATATTTCGCCTCATGTTGCCATTTTTTTTTTTTTTTTTTTTTATAAATTATTACCAACCGTAGGGTTATTGATTTTAGCGCTCGAAACAGTCAGGTAGTAGCATCGCGCTTTCGGTCAAATAAAAGGAAACACCATAGTCAGGAGAACTTAAAATTGCAAGGGTACAAAACAATTCGTGATATGCATTGTACAAATACTTTTTAATTTGGATTGCAGAAACGATGTAATCATTTAATACTGTTTATTTGGTACTGTAAGAGCTTCAAGTTAACAATAGGATGATTAATTAAAGTGTTAATACTCGTTTATTCAGGAGTTAATAACTAAAGCTTTTGTCTGTACAATTATTAGAATTAGAATTTTACCAATCTTTTTGTTTATTGTCAACTTAAAGTCCCGAATTATTATCAATGAACCGTTCAATCACTACAATTCATTCCATCCAACAGTGTCATAATAATCTAGTATGTTATAATAATGTACTTTAATCAGTTTAAGTTTAGTTTTGCAGTTTTTAATAAAGTAGGAGTGATTAAAGGTGTATAAAAACAAGTCAGAGGTGTACACCAAATACCTTATCAAGCATATACATAAGATTTCTCTTTAGCCTATTTCACAAAACAGCACTGCTTATCGGGATATCGACAAATCTCATCTAGAAGAACCAAAATCGTTTTGCTGCTCAACCTTGATGATATTATATGGTATGTTTTCGTCACACTTATCGAAATGGACTTATCTAAAATGATCATACGTCATAATAATCTATTCGGAAACTATGCATTACAGTTCTGTAATCGCTTACAAGTACTTATATCCAACACAAAATCAAACATGTTTATTTAATAATCGTAGCATATAAATAATCAAACATTCCATTTATTTCAAAAGTTTGGGAAAAAAATATTGATAATCCAATAAATTACAGTAATTACGTTTATTTCCTGAGTAAAAAACATTCTTAGTTATCAAATAATCTCAATATTAAATGAGTGTGAGTTCACATTTTGTGACATATTATTTATTTCTACAAAGTAATGTAAAGCAATTTATATGCTCTATTCGATCGGTACAAAATAAAAATATTATAACAAAGGTTTTCAAGTATCCACAGTATATATGATATGTTCTCTATGTATTGGAATTCACACACATATTTATGTCTCATTTTCACCACGCAGCTCGTACTATTTTTCTATAGACCGTGACACAAATTCACTTCATCGTGACTCCTGCCACTTTTCATTTTGCACAGCAAATTCTTTTTGCATGATTCATCACAGGACGGCCTCATGGGCGAATCTCGAAAGTAGTTTCTGAAAGTAACAAAAGTAATCCCAATCATTTGTTTCGGCGCTATTCACTTTCGAAGGTAACATTAAGCAAACGATACCTGTGAAAAATATCAAAAAGATCCTCATTTTGGGCCATTCTTTTGATAAGTTCATCCCAATCTTTGGGCAGAAGGGAGGACATGTTGTAAGCTCTCCTAGCTGTGTACGCCTTGTACCAGACTGGCTCGCCATTCTGATTAGCCTCGTCCAGATCCATTTTCCACGTTTCGTAGTCAATGATCGACTGAAACAATCACACATCACAAACAAACCGCAATATGCTTGTACAATCTAAATAATATACGTCATCGCTGACACCTACTCTGGAGGTGTTCGAATGATCACCATCAACGTAGTAAATGCGGTACGATGGATTCACGTTTTCCCACGGTGTAACGGAGGGTGCTATGTAACCTACGTTTAGGGGTCGCTTCAGATCCTTTGTGTCATAAAACACTTCGAATTCGTCGTAATGCGTGTGCCCGTAAAACTGGGCCATTATCGTTCCTTCGTACCTATCAACGGAACATGAAATTAAGGTTTTTTTTTTTTTTTTTATCGAAACGGTAAATCCCGAGGAGTTGGTACCAGTGGACACAATCTTTCGAGTACCTACTAGTTGATACACACAGACACGTACGTCATTTATAAACTTGTGTTACTTGAACTCATTGGGTTGAAATGTGCGACGGAAGCTCACCTGTTGATGATATCGTAGTAGTTCTTGGACCAGACTTTGACGCAATCCGATTCGCCAGGTGGTACGTGCCCGATTATGTGAACCTTTTCGCTCTTGTTCTCGGCGGCTTGGAGCTCATCGATGAGCCAGGCGAGTTCCCCAACGGGATCGGTGCTGTTCAGCAACAGCCAGAAGTTGTTCCGATTGCAGTAATTGCCGTTGATCGAGATGATGCGCAGACCGGGTTTTACGAGTGTTGAGTAAAAAGCACCGCGTTTGATGGTTTTGGATGTTTCCGCCGGTAGCCAGCGGCTCCATTCGTGATTCAACTCGTCGTAGAGCCACGACATGTTCTTGTTGGATGGAGCGAACGGTGGTGGGTAGCTGCGACATTATTACATAAATATACATATATTAACACTGGAAGAACAGCTATCGAATTCAATAATTGATTTGTGCTGCTTTTCATTGGCGATTTAAACTCCCGTACATCACTTACGATGTTGCAAAAGTTTATGCACGCACCTGTCTACGGGACAACTTTCGTGATTTCCAATGGATGGAAAAACTGGAATGCCCTTGAAGTACGTGGCTACCATTTCAACAGTATCTTTGAGATTCTGGAGGTTCCCTTCTCTCGTTTGATTCCAGGAATCATGTGGAGGTATGTCTCCTGTCCACATGATGTAGTCAATATCCTGAAAACCATAACCAGGTGTAACTTTTTTCATTTTTCATCGTTCATAAAGATATATTTTTTAAGTAGTGCTTTATTTACTGTATCACTCCATCTTAAAATTATTGGGACCGTGATTCGAGTATATTTGTCCAAACGAAGGTGCAGCGTACAGTCAAAGTTACAAATGAACGATTAAGTTAACAAATTTTACTTCCAATATACAATCCCTCATTGTTAAAATAGGTAATATTACCTTTCACTAGTCAAATATCCATATACTGTATTTCAAAAGTGGACAACTGACTTTTTTGAGACCACAGCGAGGGATGAAGAAACATACATCTACCACGGCACGATGATAAAATATAAATGCTCAAAAAGCAAAAGACCCCGTACCTTGTGCGTGTCGATGATGTGCTGGAATGTGTTCTGAATGAGCCACTTGGGGGAATCGCACTTGTAGTTACCCCACTTGCCGGCCGCAGTGGCACTCGAAGCGGGAGGTCCGTTGGAGGCTCGGCAGCAAAGGGGCTCTCCGCAATCGGTATTGCCGCCAATCAGGTAATGCGGATCATAATGGGTATCGGAGATCTGCAAGACCTTGAGCCGTGGCACTCTCTCCCCTGGAGGTGTGACTGGATGAACCGACGGCTTCGGCAACGATGGGAACGTCACCTTCCAATTGTGGCGTGGATCGTCACCGGGGAAACAAGTCTCGCCCAGGAAGAAGCTGCACATCTGCGCTGGGTGCATGTTCGAGTGTCTAATCACGTATATCACCTCAATCTGTAAGAACAGGGATGATTCCTTACCTCTGGTTCTTTCATTCGTTCAAGTTTCCAACAACTACTCACCCCAACGAGGCGCATGATGCCCATGCAGACATTAGCACTCTGGATCCCAAGGATGGTGCAAACTCTCCCTGCCTCGTTTGCAACTTGCGCGTTGCTCTTGCCGGTTTTTATGATGGCGCGGATCAAGTTTATCACGAACTTACAAGCAAAGCAAGAGGCTTTGGAATTGAGGGAGCAAAGCAGCTGGCGTTTCACGCGATGCAGATCCAGCATGCTCGAAATTTTCTCGGCCCAAGCGCCGGTGTCGTTGGATTCGAGCGCTGCTCTCATGTCTGTCACGTATCGAGTGTAATTCATCTGTACGAATGTCAATCGTTGCTTGGTAATTGTGCTCTATGGTGGCTTATTTCTAAGGTGAGGTTTTTCGTACGAAAATTAATGGGTGAGAAATGAAAAAAGATAATGTAAAGTTACGTACGTGTAACAGCCAGTCTGGATCGAGAGAATTGGCAATCGGACCTAAAACAGTCGGAGATACGTCATTGGCTATGTCTATAACTTTGTCTTTGGTATTAAGGGAAAATTGGAGTACGTCAGTCAGTCCTTTTTTTGCGTCCTCAACCGGATCCCAGTTAGCGATATCTACACAACATACACCAGCTGCCCAAACTGTTAGTACAACAACAACAACAACAAAAAGTTACGTGATGCCATTCCAATTGGTAATGCAATTTTTCTTCTACTCTCAAATAGATATTAAAAAAGTTGCACTAGAAGTTAATTTCAAAATATTTACGTATTTTATGATTTGTTAGAATCAAACTTTAATACAAGCAATACTACAAACTTTATACTATTTAATGGTGTTAGTTTAATTAGTCAACATTAAACTTAATCTTACGATCAACTATGTTTTCGGCTGTATTTTTAACCGTATTCTTTGCGCCTTTAATACTGTCTCCGACCTTATTTATTTCTTGCTTTATACCTTCTATTGGATCTATATTAGTGGAATATAAAGGTTAAGCTTAAATCAAATTAAAACTATGTTGCTTGAGTAATGTTGGTTAAACTTAATTTTAAAACATTAAATATGATTGTTTGTACCCTTAAATAATTCCTACATTTAGTTAAACTAAAATTATTTTTACTATTGAACATCAAACATGCAAAAGTTAAATAAACATTCTAATAGACATTCCATGCAAATTCAGATGAATCACAGTTTCTGTACTACTCAACTGCCATTCATACATGACTTTATGAGTGAAATTAATTGTAAGTAAAAAAGTTGACAAGCAAAAGTTGTGATAGGCTGTATCTATAAATGAAAACATTAATAACTAGAAAAAAAAGGTTTAACATAAAAAATAGTGTTTTAAATCACTAAAAAATGTTTATAAAAATTTTATACTAAGTTGTTTCTTGTAATAAAATAAACGTACTAATCGAATATTGTTGTGACACCGAAATACAACAAAATGATAAAATAATACATCGAAAAAGCCATCTTTTATTGACCACGTTCCTTTGCCTTTGGACTGCCATCTTCTGTAACAAAAAATAGTGCCTATTAGAATCCTAAGTTTAAAGAGATACTTTTATGATTGTTGGCAATACAATTTTAAGCTACACTTCTTCTAAATAAGAGAATAAGAAAAGGAAAATTCTTTAGGAATTTTTAATAGATATCCGATTAAAGAGTGTAATGGGTTCGTTAAAAAAATGTTTCTCACACTTAAAAAAAAAAGATTGGTTGAAAAAATTATGTGCACTGTTTACTTATGTACCTATCAAGATAAATAGAATAGCATAAATAATTTTCTTAAATTCTATTTCATTTTAAAAAATAATTTTGCGTTTATTACTTTTCCTTGAACTCGTAAGGCCGTACAGCCTTGACATCGTATTACCAATAATTTAAATCATCAATACATTAATAAAAAAGGTGCATTAGGCAAAGTTTCAAAGTACAATTATTGTTTTTTTTTCAAAATCATTTTCTATACTTAAAAACGTTGTAAAAATTGAATCACAGGGAAGATTTTTTTAAAGAAAACATGCTTTTAAATAACTTCTCATTTTAAATTTTCTATTTTTTAATAGAAAGACCTGAAATATGCAAAATGGAATACAATTGTATTTTATACGAATTTTTCATTCTTTTTTTTTCACACTATGTTAAATTGAATTTTGTTTCTTGAATGGAAAAAAGTACTAATATTAAATTTTAGCTTTTAATTTTTCTTAAACACATTCTAAAAAAGATTTTAAAAAATGTATTCTAATGACGAAATACTTGTAGACAACTTAGTCTCAAAAATTTAAACTAACTATTAAATAAACTAAAAACTTGAAAAAAAATTACATCCTCGTTATTTGGAAACTGAAAACGCAACAATATTCTACTAGCACTAATAAGAAGATATTCACATTTTGTTATTTACTATATTCTGGGTGCACTCACCCACTGGAGTTAATGATTACCTACAATACGTGTACAAATCCAAGTTGCTTCAACTTGTTTCCAAGAGGAGTATCAATTCACGCGTTACCAGAGTTTATGAAGAAACGTGGGAACCATGTAATTATAATATTTCTTTTTATAGTCTCTGACTACTAGTAAAGTTGTAATGATTGACTGTTGTTACTGTATTTTAGAGCACGTTGCAGATTCAATTCTACTGACACAGAATAATTTCAAAGGATATCTCTTATTTTTATGAATACTTGAAAAAATATCAGAATCCCACATTCGATTGATTAATGCTATTGACTTTATTAGTACTTTCTACATTAATAATTGCACATTTTAACAAAAGTATAAGTCTTGTAGGGACCATTTCACCCATAAATGTTCATTACTTCAATAAATCCACAAAATTTAAGTTCCATCCAGTAATCAATGGGAAACTTTTTTAATTCTAGGTATTTGGGAACTTTTACTTGTACGTACAAAAATCGTAACATTTTATCGAGTATAAAATTGAAGTGTAAAAATATCGTATAATACACAGCGTAAAAGTATAAAGTACTTTTTTTATGACGTATCCTTTTCTATAACATTTAACTAGGGAATCAAAAAAATCCTGATGCTTGTCATTTTTCAGAGCATGAACAGTGAGACTAATATTCATGTTTTATCCAGCAAGTAAAATTAATAAACCTTTTTCAAGTTTGCGTGAAAAAAAAGATATTTTAAAATCGTTGAACATCCCAGAAAAAATCCAAAATCTGGGAAAAGATTAACTTGAGTATAACAGCATTTTGCTCATTCGATCGCCCAATAAACTTATTTCAGCACCTGACAAAAATAACCAATCACCTTTGGGCTCATAAATATAAAAAAAAAAAAAAACCACCGAAAGAAAAAATAAGAATAAAAAATGAACGATTGCCACACAGGTTCGGGCTCCGGCTCAGGGAGCAGTGGCTGCGCGTCAAGTACCCTCGGCAGCCTACCGGCGAACAATCGATGCTACTCGTCCCTTCCACGAGGTGCTCTAGCCGCTTATGGTGGCTCGAACCGACCGGCTACCTTGCCACGATTGCCCCTCGGCGTGGGCGTGCCAGGTGGCAACGGCAGTTTACCCAGCACCAGTGGCAACGAGCGCGACCGCGACAGCAGCAACGGCAGCAGCAAACGCAACAGCGACAGCGTCCTGTGCCACAGGCTACCTGGACTGTCGCCTCTACCTGCCTGTGACGTCGTCAGCCATCAGGGTACCGGCTTTCACGAGATCTTTAATGCTATCAGGTCAGTTGTAGCTTTGGATCTGTCTTTTTTAATTTATTTTTTTTTTTTTTTTTTTTTTTTTTTTTTTTTTTTTTTTTTTTTTTTTTTTTTTTTTTTTTTTTTTTTTTTTTTTTTTTTTTTTTTTTTTTTTTTTTCGGATGTACCGTGACAGTGTGATTTTTATACTTCACCAAATAATACATTGATAGGTATTAAACGTTTAGAAATTGCCAATGCCAGGAAAGGTCTCGAATTTATAATTAATCAAGTTACTCGACAATATTTAACAATAAATTGGATTGCGTGGAACGAAATAAGAATGTTCCGAATGTAAGAAAAATAAAAAACTTTACAATTTCAATCGTCAAAAATTTCATTCGAATCGTGAAAACTTTTTAGGTTTCTACTTCATTTTGATTATTCGTAGCTTATGTACTACTTCTCTGGACCATTACCTAGCTGTATTTTAGATATATTAGGTGTACAAAAAGCTAAGTCAAATTCTTTGTCTGAAATTTTTTTCATGAGTAATACTTAGATGCGACGTTGTAACTATCGTAACTAATATCAAACTTTTTTTTTTTAATTTAGACTAATCAGAAAGAGAAAAAAAAATTAAAAACAATTGAGTATACATATCTGTATGCATGAAAATTCTTGTCGTACGGTATCTTATTTTCGTATGCTGTAGTAAAATTTGTTGTATTTTATCTAATAAATATAATTATTAGGGGCATTTAAAAATGAGTCAAGTTTTTCTTCGTTTGTATTAAATTTTACTACCGAGTTAAAAAAAAAATCAGCAAAATCCAAATAAAGGATTGCAATTTCCTATATAAATCTGGCATCATAAAGTCATATTCTTTAACTTGAAAGCATACTCCATCGCGACAACAAAAAGTAAGCTAAAAAAAGTTGGCAAAGTGCTTGGAAATGGAGGAAAGTCCTGTAAAGATATTTACTTTTCCCTTTGGGATCAGCACAGGTTCCTCCTATCTCTTTAGGAAACTCGGAAAAATACCATTCGAGAGACCACTAGTAGTATTTACTTGTTACAATAAAAAACATGCATGAAATAAAACTGCCCACAAAATTTTGTATCCCTTTGTCTATCATGATTTTTATACATTTTAAAAACTCAGGATTACTTTTTAACCGTTTCTTTTTCTTTTTCCCTTATAAAATAACTTTAATGTTAAATAAACAATGAAAAAGAGTGTTAATAAAATAATATGTAAAATGACAAAGTGACTCAAAGGAGACTCACATGAAACTCATCATTAAAAAAAAAAAAAAAAACTTTACGATCACAATGATCAGGAAACATAACTGATAAACCTAAAAAACTTAAAACTTAGCGTAAAGTATATTCGACATGAGTATCAAAAATAAAAATAAAAAAAATAAAAAAAACAAATTTAACCACAGGGAGCCAAACTGCAAGCTGCGCTCGCTAAATGTATCCAAGTGTTTGCTGGGTGGCCTGGACGCCGCCTGCCTGGGCGAGACGATCAGACGAGCGCGCAATCTGGACGCGGTGAGAGCGGCGGGGGCCTCAAGGCCCATCGACGTGATGCCTCTGGTGCTCGCCCTGGCCGAAGCCCCCTGCCTCCAGTTGCTCGATCTCGCCAGTCCCCGTCTTGCCCTCGACGACCACCCGTGCAGGCTACTCTGCCACGCGCTTGCTCGCAACTCGACCCTTCGTTTGCTCAGCCTCGAGGGCTGGACCTTCAGGATTGAGGTAAGTTTTTTTTTTTTTTTTTTTTTTTTTTTACCAAGGGTACCTTTGTTACTGAATAGCTTGAAACTGCATCTTAATTATTGTATCCAACAGGGATATCTCGCAAAATAAACTCATAGCTCGTCACGTGATTAGTTCATGGAGAGAGAGGTAGAATTTTTCGAATGTTAATTGCTTACTTGGTTGAATAGTCCTTTTGGTTCTTAATAGTTTGAAAAGTTATCAAAGACTTTTGTTCTTTTGTTGTGTTAAAAAAAAAGTGTATCCAAAAGAGGCATGTTAAAAATAAAGTTTTACTCACATGCTAGTTTTTTTGACAGAACTGTCCGAGCCAACTGACCACTACAATAATTATACTAAACTGACCGAAAAAAAAAATAATTTTTTTTTTCTTACATGATATTTTACAGAAAAAAATCTCTAATCCTTAAAAAAAAAAATAATGATAATAAAAGCTACTTTTACAAGGAATAAACGTGACGTGCGCTAACTGTACACTGCGTGGCTACGCCAACGTATAAACAGACTGGCGGCCCAAGGCAGTCGGTGCCGACTGATTCCCAACTTCGGCAACAAAAGAAATGACCCCCTTATTCAGCTCATTCCATTCCTCTCTCCTGGTCTTTTTTTTCTTTGTTTCACAACGGCTGCTCTGACCTCTCTATCTCTTTCCCCCTCCGGTCGTTTACTCCATCTTGGCAATTTACAAACTTTGCTTCCGTTCATTTTCGATCTCTCGCTGCATACAAGTGTTCCTACTTAGTGCGTTGTTCGAATGTTCTTTTTACCATTGCTTTTTTTCTACACTTTTACGGTAAGAATAAGCTTTGACGATGCCAGAACTTTTGTCGTGACAATGACAATATACTTGCACGTTTTAAATATCGATAAAGAAGGAAAAAAATTAGTTTAACGTTGGAAGAGCACTTATTTTTATCTTAAGAAGTTTTCGAAGACATAATTGCACTATTTATATTAGAAGTGGTCCTTGAAATAAATTTATGAAATTTTATGAAAAATAAAAATGTACGTATCCCAAAAATATAAATCATAAATATTGACTAAAATAAACAAGGACGAGGTTAAAAAAGGTTACTCTAAGATCTTGATGGAGTGTGAGCCAGACATAAAAATATTTTTTTATAAAAAAATTGGTTTTTACATAAAAACCTCGCTTTTTCCCATTCCAAAGTAAAGAATTTAGTAAATGATTTGTATCGTTCATTCTTCATTAGTATTATGACTTACAAGATGTTGATAATCAAATAAAAAATAAAGATAAGCTCATCGAAAGAAATAGGATCATTCGCGTGACAGTAATATTACTTGATCTCTAGATCTTTATTGATTAATCAATTCATCAATTCAATAATCACTAAAACGCAAACATTTACGAAATTATAAGTTCATACCAAAAAAAAATTATGAGAACTAGAATATCCAATGAAGCTTTATTTATATTTATACAAGGAAAGGTATATTACAACATAATTTTATAGATTGATGTAACCGAAAAATTGAGCGGTACAGTAAATAATGAATAATTCATTTGTTATTTATTTATTTGTTTATCTTTTATTTTTTTATTTACTGTT